GTCTATCTATCCCCATGTCCATTCATCCATCCCCATCCATCTTTCCATCTATCTATTCCCATCTCTATCTATCTCTCTATCTAATCCCCATTCATCTACATCCCCATCTATCAATCCCCACCCCCATCCATCTATCTCCATATATCTATCCATCCCCATTCATCTATATTTCTATCCCCAGCCCCATCTATCTATCAATCCACACCCATATCTGTTTGTCTGGGTCTCGCCACGCTGCCATCCACCTATCCCCATACACACATGCCTCTCTCAAGCAAGAGATGAGCTTTTGACACAGATCTCTACTTCTGATCTGGGAAAAGTTCTCCAGCATGTCCAAGCTAAACACATGTCAAAGCTGGTCCCTTTCCCGAACAGACGTGAATAAAAGCTATCCCCTCCCCCACCTTGTCTCTCTAATATCCTGGGACCGACATGGCTACAACAACATGGCAAACTACCAAAATAATTGTCCGGTTCCCAATGATGCCTCCCGCCTTTTGGTTTGGGGGAGTTTGAACCTGGTGTTAAAACAATGAGTCTGGAAAAGGTTTTGAAAACCCGCCCTAGGAGGAGAGGTGAAAAATACTGAGCGTGTTGAGTCTTGAGGAAATAAGACGGAGGGGGGATCTGAGAACAGTCGTCCAATATGTGAAGGGCTGTTCTAAAGGGGATGCGGATCAATGGTTCTCCATGTCCAGTGAAGGCAGGTCAAGAAGAGATGTGTTAATCGGCAGCAAGGGAGATTGAGGTTAGACATTAGGACAATCTTTGTAGCTTGAAGGGGAGTCTAAAGGAGGAGCTCCACTAGCTATAGTAGACTCTTATCCTGTTACATGGACAGGCCAGTGTAGGGAGAGAAACCCCTCATGTTCTGCTAGTGGCCTGCAGCTCAGGAAAGGCTTTCTCATCCCGCCTGCTCCTCTAGGGTTAGTTTCTCTCTTTCTTTGGGGGAGTGGGGAGGGGGTCCATTGGCCCCAGGAGGGAGGGGAGGGGAGTCCATTAATTTCAGTAGAGGTTGTATGAGGCGCTGGTGTGGGATTTCCTCGTGGGTCTGCTATGGAAACACTTCTCCTCTGTTCCCACCGAACCGCCCTGTCCAGCCCTGGCAGAGCAGACGACAATTCCACGGACCCTGAGTGTAGTGCAGAAAGGCCCTAGGGAGGGGGACTGGCTGGATCACAGGATGGGAAATTGGATGTGGGGCCTTTCCCCTTTTGGGGGTGCCAGCTCTGATCCAGCTCCACAGTGGGGGATTGGCTGGCTCAGTGGGAGGTGGGGAATTAGACATGGGGCCTTTTAAACCCTGTGACATGGTGTCAACCGGGGTCCTCTCCATTCAGTCGTGCATCATCAATCCAGCTGTGCAGAGACCCAGATAGGCAGCATCCATCCAGCTGTGTAGGGACCCAGCCATGCAATATCTAGCCAGCTGTCCAGGTTCCCCGGCTGACGCACGGCTTGTCCTTCCCCTCACCTCATGAGGTTGGCTGTGGTTGGAAACTGAAACGTCTGAGCCCTGCATTTAGATGAGTGTGTGGGCGACCCTGAGGTTTCCTGCCCCCCAGTCTATAAAACCCCCAGGCCTGAGGCAGATGCACCATCCCTGCACTGACACCAAATATGAAGGTACAGATCTTGCTCCTGCTCCCCATGGCCTTTCTCCTGCCCCCCAGGGCTTGGGCTGGTGAGTATGGCTGGGATCAGGACCTCCTGGGATTTTGGGGTGAATGGGGGGTCTCAGGGATGGGGACTCAGTGGATGGTATCTAGGAGCCTGTGACAGTCTGTGCCCCTATGATCACCCCCTTTACAGGACTATGATTGCATTTATACAAAGCATGTCTTGTGAGATATCATCTAAAACCTTATAATTTGCTGATCATTACTGTCCTGGTAAAATATGTGTGGCAGCTAAAGTTATAATATTCTACTGTATGATGTTACTAAAACATGTTCCAAATCTGGGAAGCAGCCACAAACCAGTTCCCCAGAGACAAAAGAGTAGCCGATGCCTCATCCAACTGGACTATCACATGATTATGTGGCCATTCTTGAGCAGGAGGGAGGAGGTGGGTGAAAAATTTACATCTTGACAAAGAAACAGTTTGGGGTTCCTGTTCACACACTTTCTGTCTCCTGCTCAGTGGGTGATGATTCTTGTAGAGGAGAAACAGCTATAAGAAGGGTGATCAGATGCCCCAAATGATGTCTCCCTGTCTCTTTACCCACGGCATTGACAGCATCGGAAGTACACAGGGAGCAGCATTGCACAGGGGACTGGAACCTGACTGAAGGAAATTCAGCCAGTAAGATTGTCAGTGCCCTTTGGGGGCTTGCCTGGCCTAATCTGGGAGGATCTTGGACCTGAATGCCATTAACTCAAGGCAGTGAGATTATTGACCCATTCCCTGTGTGTTTGGCACCTATTCTCCACCAAGCAAGAGCAGAGCTTTAGATTCATCTCCTGGCCCCATGGGGTGTCCAGTCTGGAGCAGAGTTGATGAGGGGGCAGGGTTCCAGGAACAGGGATCCCCCAGGGAGACCATCACAGGGGGTGGGTTGAGGCTGTGGGGACTCCCCTTCGGGATGGGGAACTCGGTCCCTGGCAGGCCCAGGGAGATGATGGGGCTCTTTGTATCAACCTGATCTCCCCCCTCCCCTCCCAGGTGAGATCATTGGGGGAAAGAAAGCGAAGCCCCACTCCAGACCCTACATGGCCTATCTGGACATACGAGATGGAGACAAGAGGTCTCGCTGCGGAGGGTTCCTGGTGGCGGAGAACTTTGTGCTGATGGCCGCTCACTGCAATGGAGAGTAAGCGCCTCTGTGCTGGGGATGTCAGGACACGTCGGGCGTTAGGGCTTTGGTGCCGTGGTAGGTTGCAGGGAAGGAGCAGTTAGTGTGACAGGCTGGGAGAGCAGAGCCCAGGGGTCTGATCTGCTCAGGGGGCGTCGGTGTGTCTCTAGGAGCCTCTGAAAAGCATGGAAAAGATGCCAGCTGGGGTCAGGTCGATTGTCAGAGCAGGGGAGGGAAAGACTCACACCCGTAGGACGGTTCTGGATCATGCCGGGGAGGGGTCACTGGGCTGGATGGGAGCTGAGACCCAGAGCTTGGGAGGACAATGAAGAGTGAAGCATCATAAGGGGCTGGTGGAGACAGAGCCTGGGACCCCATCGCCACAGGGCAGGTGTTTTGTGCTGAGGCCGGTGCCCCGTAGAGGGGAAAGGCTTCTTGTTCCATTCTGCGCCCCCCAACCCCCGAGCCAGCCAATCTCCTGTTCTGGAAACCTGAATCTGAGATCTTGGCCTGAGAGCCCCAGGCTGCCCTGTCCCCTCCATGTCACTGTTCATGAGTCAGACCCTCATGTGCCCATCCCCCACCTCACCTACGCTCCTGCCCGTAACACCCCATGTATTGCTTTCTCAGCGAGATCACTGTCACGTTGGGAGCACATAACATTAGAAAACGGGAATGGAGTCAACAGAAAATACCTGTGAGGTCCCAGATCCTGCACCCACGATACAACAGAGACATCTGTAACAATGACATCATGCTGCTGCAGGTACGGCCTCCATCCCATCACCCACCCCACTGACCTCTTACTGCTGTAGGTACCGTCCCTGTCCCATCACCCCACCCCCATGACCTCACACTGCTGAAGTTACCACCCCCCATGACAGGTTGGATCACAGAAACCCCCTTGGGGACTGCCACCTGATGTGCCAAGCTCCCAGCCTGTTTACAGGTATAAGCTGAAAAGTAACAGGCTTGTGGGACTGTCTTGTCACCATCCCTAGCATGTACAACAGTTTCTTCCACAAATCAGGTATGTTCCACATCTTTAAAGGGTTTACCACTAGTATTAACTCCTTCGTCTTGACCCATAGATGAAGTAGCAAAAGACACAAGATTAACAGCACATCTGCTGCAGACCGGCTTTGTTCACACAATTTAACTTGGTTAGTGTCTATCACATTTTTCAATTCCTTTGTGTACCATGATAGGTGCCCTGATGCAGATTCTTCTGCCTCTTTGGAGAAGGCTTTTAATTCAGGCATGTGTTTGAGGCTTTGGCAAGGAAAGGGTGCACTGCAACCATGCCTGCCCTCGCCCCTTCCTCTGGAATTTCTCTGTGCTGGACCCCACTCCCTTGTGAAACTTCACCCATGCAGAGATTTTTTCCCTCCTGCCTTGAAGAGACAGTTTTATCTCTTAGAAGCACAGCAAGAACAACATCTTTCAATGGGGTGCTTCGGATGGGTAATATCCCCTTGGATACCCCACTTTCTGTTCCCAAAATGTTAGCTGGGGGGCTGCTCCCCTCCAGGAGATCTGACCCCCAGTTTTCCCTTAAACCCTGATCCACAGGAGAGGGGTCTGGCATTTTAAATGCAGATTTTTCACCTTCCTCCTGGGAAAGAACCTCCCTACAAAAGGTGGGCAGGCTCTCCGTCCCCTCTCACCTTCCATCTAGACTTCCCTCTCTGGGCTTCCCTCTGGGTCAGACACTCCTGTGTCCCCCAAAAGGGAAGGTGACCCAGGTCCGGCTGTGGGCTCACAGCTACCAGCTATGACAGACCCTTCACTGGCCAGCAAAATCCCCCCCCCCCTTTTTCACTCAGGTTGGGTTTGCTTCCAGCCACAGAGTCCTTGGAATCTGTTCCCACCGCAGCGGTCACCAGGACCCCAATTTCCACCTTTGGGATACATGTCTCTGTGCACCCCAGGGCAGGCCCTGTCCCCTGCTGACCTCCTGCAACTTCCTGGCAGTCAACAGCTGGGATGCCCTCCCTGCTACAAGGTGGTACATCCCCCTCCCCCAGGCAGATGATCACCGGACAGGAGCTGGCTTCGTCCAGCCCCTCCCTGGGGCTACAGGGACTGGTTACAACCATCCCTGCCCCCCAAGCTGCATTCTTTACTGCTACAGAGGAATCTAAAAGACACCCTCCTATTCCCCCAGCAGCCCATGTGACTTCACCCCTCCACCCCCCGGGGCTTTTAGCACAAGATTCCTTCTCACTGCTAACCAGCCCTGGGACAGATTCTGCCACATTAAAGAAATCATTCCCCAGCAGAAACGGTGCAAAATTGTGTGCCACTGTTGCAACAGTCAGTTCAGCCTGCAAATCACTAGTTTGCATGTGTACTTTAGCTAAAGATGCAAGGACTTTGTAACCTCCCACCAGTCCTAATTCTACCATTTTCCCTGGCAACAAATCCTTCTCCTGGATCAGGTCGCTCCTGACCACAGAAATCTCAGCACCCGTATCTCTCAATCCAACAAGTACTTTCCCATTAAGTTTAACAGCATGCATATGCTCACTGCTTGGTTGTGTGGAAGCAACTTTACAAATCCTGTGTGGAAAGAGGCAGCAGCCTGGCTCTGAGAAGCAGTGGCTTCATATGTTGCCTACTGCCTGTTCCCTCTTAGCCAAGGGCAATTATTCCTCAGGTGCTCAGTGGACTTACAATGATAGCACCTCTTGGGCTCCTCTGCTTGCACAGGAGATTTGGGACAAGTAACAGGGGAATGGGGAAGTGAATGCCCAGCCTCCTTTTACTTAGGGGTAAAACGGTGACTCTGCTTTCCCCCAACCCTGTACCCCTCTGCCAGTGGTTTATGTTTCATTGCAACTTGTGCTTGCTCATAAGAGTCTGCAAACCTAGCTAATTCACCCACTGCCACCACCTTTTTGTCTCACAAATACTGTTTTACATCATCACTGCACATATTCAGGAATTGTTCCTGAGTAACCAAATCACACATTCCTTCAAAGCTTGTAATGCTTTTCCCCCTCACCCACTTATCTACAAAATCTCTCATTTCATTTACATAAACCACATTACTCAATCCAGATCCCCTCTTAAGATTCCTGAATTTAACCCTGTAGGTTTCAGGTGTAATCTGAAACTGTTTAAAAAACAGTTCCTTAAATTTACCATCGTTTGAAGCATCATCAATAGGCATCTTATTGAATATGTCCAGAGCTCTGCCAGTCAATTTTGATATCAATATGGTCATCTTTTGATCTTCAGGGATTGCATGGAGGGTGCACAATCTCTCAAAGGTAATGAAATATTTGCCAATATCACTTGATTCATCATACTGTGGACATAGTCGCTCCCATTTGTGGATTTTTGGGGAAGTGGAGCCAGCAGCTGGAGGGTTTTGTCTCTTCAATGCCATAACAGCCAGTTCATGCTTCTGGGCCTGCATTTCTCTGTCTTTTAACTCCAGAGCTCTTTTGTCCCTGGCTTCTTCTGTCTTCATAGCTCTCTTGTGGGCAGCCTCCTCCCTGGCTGTTTCTGCCTCCAGAGCCCTTCTGTGTGCAGTTGCCTCTGCTCTGAGTTTCAATTCAAACTCCCAGGCCTTTGCCTTCTCTTCTGCTTCCAGTCTCGACAGCTCTAGTTTAGTAGCTGCTTCACTGGTAGTCATTTTCTTGCTTTCTTGTGCTGGGCTACACCCCCTCTTCAGTTTACTAAAACAACAATGAGTCGGGTGGCATCTTAAAGACTAACAGATTAATTTGGGCATAAGCTTTCATGAGTAAAAAAAACCTCACTTCTTCAGATGCATGGAGTGAAAGTTACCTTCAGTTCACTGAAACTGGGATGCACTCAGCTCAGGGGCTTCTTAGTTAATAGAGACTTTCCCAGTGCCCATTGTTCAGCCTTTCTGGGCAATTTGCAACCTGTGTAGTTCCATCTTCTTCTGATCTTCACTCTTACTTATTTTGCTTCCTTTTCTGTCCCTATTTCCCTTACCCAAAATAAGTAAACAGAAAACAACAAACCAGTAACCACTTTGTTCTCAAGCCACCACACCCAAAACTCACTTAAAATAACTACCAGTATTTCATAGCAATCAGCTGTGCACAGATCCTGCTCGACTATGCCACTGTGATGGGGTGGATCACAGAAACCCTCCTGGGAGCTTCCACCTGATGCGCTGAGACTACCCCTGAGCCTGTTTCCCCTGGCAGCTTAGGACTTCAGTGCCCTGCCTGGTTTGAGCTAGACCTGCTACCCTGCTGCAAACCCAGACCCAGGTCTGAACCACGTCCACTAACAGCTGAAGGCTTAGCTGAAAACAGCTTAAGAAGTGCTCCTATCTCTAACATTCAGATACCCAACTCGCAATGGGGTCCAAACCCCAAATAAATCCGTTTTACTCTATATAAAGCTTATACAGGGTAAACTCATAAATTGTTCGTCCTCTATAACACTGATCGAGAGATATGCACAGCTGTTTGCACCCAGCTGTTTGCACTCTGGGTTAATTAATAAGTAAAAAGTGATGTTATTAAATACAAAAAGTAGGATTTAAGTGGTTCCAAGTAATAACAGACAGAACAAAGTGGATTACCAAGCAAAATAAAGTAAAACACACAAGTCTATGCCTAATACAGTAAGAAAGTGATTACAGATGAATTCTCACCCTCAGAGATGTTCCAGTAAGCTTCTTTTACCAGACTAGCCTCCTTCTAGTCTGGGTCCAGCAATCACTCACACCCCCAGTGGTTACTGTCCTTTGTTCCAGTTTCTTTCAGGTATCCTTTGGAAGTGGAGAGGCTATCTCTTGAGCCAGCTGAAGACCAAATGGAGGGGTCTCCCAGGGGTTTAAATAGACTTTTTCTTGTGGGTGGACACCCTCCCTTCCCTCCCGTGTAGAATCCCAGCTACAAGATCGAGTTTTGGAGTCACCTGGGCAAGTCACATATCCGTGCATGACTCAGAACTTACAGGTAGTAGTCATTGTTCACATGCTACCTTGAACGTCCTCAAGTAGACTTCTTATGTGGATTGGAGCCTTCCAAGATCCATTGTCCATTAAGTGTTTCTTGATTGGGCACTTAACTTGCAAATTCCTTTCTAAAGAAGCTGCCCAAATGCCTTACTAAGGCTACTTAAAATCAAGCAAGTACACAGCCAATGATACATGCATACAAATAGGATGAATATATTCAGTAGATCATAATCTTTGCAGAGATATGTTACATGACATATGTAGCATAAAATTTATTCCAGTTATATCATATTTACATTCATAAGCATATTTCCCTAAAGCATTATGGGGTACAATGTCACACCCCCATCCAATGTTCTCTCTAATTATTAACATCCATGTGCAGAATGAATATTGTTATGTGCACCAATATGGAGATGATGTGTGGCGGGGGTGGGGCCGAGGGGTTCGGCGTGTGGGAGGGGGCTCAGGGCTGGGGCGGAGGGTTGAGGCGTGGGGGTGAGGGCTCCAGCTGGGGGTGCGAGCTCTGGGGTGGGGCCAGGGATGAGGGGTTTGGGGTGCAGGCTGCCCCAGGGCTGCAGCAGAGAGAGAGGATTCCCCCCAGTCCTCTCTCCCTGCAGAAGCACCTGGACTGGAGGAGTCCTCTCCCCCTGCTGCAGCCCCAGGGTTGGGCAGTGGGGAGAGGCATCTCTCCCTGCTGTGCCACAGCCCTGGTGCTGGGGCAGTCACCGCAGCCCTGCATGCCACAAGCTCCCCCATCACCAACACCCCACACCTGTGAGTGCAGTGTGAACACCTGTGTGACCCTTGGTGGCCTCCTGTGTGGCTGCTCAGGCATGCACCTTAGAGGGAACCTATCCCCCATCCCATCACCCCACCCCCAGTGACCTCACACTGCTACAGGTACCGCTCCCATCCCATCCACCCGTTCCCAGTAACCTCACACTGCTGCAGGTACCACCCACATCCCATAATCCTGCCCCTGCGACCTCACACTGCTGCTGGTACCTCCCCCATACCATCACCCCAGCCCCAGTGACTTCACACTGCTGCAGTTACTGCCCTCATCCCATGCCCCTCCCCCAGTGACATCACACTGCTGCAGGCACTGTCCCCATCCCATCACTACATCTCCAGTGACCTCACACTTTTGCCAGCCCGGCACCTACCCCATCACTTGAATGATGACCTCAAACTGTCTGTTCTGCTCTGGTTCAAATGTGTCTCCCCCACTTCTGACTCAGACCCTGGTGCTAAGCTTGGTGCTTTTCTCCTCTCTCCCCATGGCAGCTGGCCCACCAGGCCAGACTGAGTGACCAGGTTCAGCTCACCCCCCTGCCCTGCTATGGGAACAAAGTTATACCAGGGTCCGTGTGCAGCGTGGCAGGCTGGGGCCACATGAGTGTGTCCCCTGGGAACACCTCAGATGTGCTGATGGAGGTGGTTCTGGAGGTGATGGAGGACAAGGTCTGCAGTAGGCACTTTAACAATCAGTATAAACCTGGGACCATGCTGTGCACAGGGGATCAGCGTGGCAGGAAATCATCTTTCCAGGTAAGTGTCATGCTCTCCCTAGGAGAGGTAATGCCAAGACTGGCCCAGCCTAGGGGGAGAAGACAGTGTGAGGAGACAGCTAGGCCTGGGGTGGGGTGGGAGGGAAGTCCCAGGCCTATGTCAACAGAAGGAAGCAACTTGATCAGATGTGATCCATCTAACTTCTGGTTTCATTTCACAGGGCGATTCTGGGGGGCCCCTGGTGTGTGGGAGGGTGGCCCAGGGCATCGTCTCCTTTGGTCCCAATGACGCTTCCCCTCCTGAAGTGTACACACGGGTCTCCCAGTTCATCCCCTGGATAAAGGCAATGATAGGAAAGCTACAAGCCTGGGACCCGCTGGAATTCTCCTTGCATGCCTGAATCACCCCGTGCTTGACACATGGAGCCCCACTCTTTGCCGTCCTATACCTCTACATTAGAAACAAAAGTGAAGTTACATTAGAAACACTAGGAAATTCCAATGAGAAACTGAACAAAACTTCCAATGAGAATTCAAAGGGAAATTCATTTAGAAAGGAAATGACTTTTAAGTTAGAAGCCATATGAAATTTCAGTACGAAACTAAAGAAAAATTTCATACAACATAAGATCATACAACATCATCCATTCCAGGCCCTGCAATCATGTCATATAATCCCCTTCATGAATTTATCAAGCTGTGTGCTCAAACCAGCTAGGTTTCTTACCCCCTCTCCTACTGTTTCAATTACAGTCCAAATGGGAATTTCATCTAGAAAGGAATCAACATTGCAATAAGAAATGAAACGAAAATTTGAACTAAATTACATTTTCACATCCAAGTGTACCAAAATTTCAGTCAGATAGAAAATGAACAATTACATTGGCTACAAATTGAAAATTTCAGTTTGAAATGAAACAAAATCCGTTTGAATTTTGAAGGAAAATTGGAATTCCAAAAGCCAGGGCCGCCCAGAAGATTCAGGGGGCCTGGGGCAAAGCAATTTCGGGGGCCCCTTCCATAATTTTTTTTTGCAATACTATACAATACTATATTCTCGTGGGGGCCCCTGTGGGGCCCGGGGCAAATTGCCCCACTTGCTCCCCCCCCCCATGGGCAGCCCTGAGAAAAATAAACCTTCCGCATCTTGGCACAAACCCAGTTTTGAGAAAACTTCTTTAAAAGGTATCACTGGTTCTAAGCATCAGCTAGTGCTAAAAGGCACTGAACCTCATTAAAAGGTTGGACAAATATTTTCCATCAAAACTTTTTTTGGATTAAAAACTAGGGGTTTTTAAAAAGCAGAAAAAATCACGGACAATGTCTGCTTTCCTTCAAAATGTGTTGTGCTTTTTTTAATTGAAAAGCTGAAATTAGTCTGCCAAAACCTGAACATGGTTTGGGGTTTCAGAAGTGTGTGGCCAAATATTTGCTGCTTGCTGTGTTTGATTGTTTAAAGAAACAATAAAAAAATTCTGCTTAAAAAAATCCAAAACTTTTGAACCACCTCAGCTTGTGACCTTGAGCCCATCCAGTCCGAGACTTTTCCAGGTTTCTGGTACTCTGCTGGCTTCCTTGACTCATATCTGCCTCCATAACTTTGGGTTCATTTAGGTTAGAACATAAGAACATAAGAATGTCCATACTGGGTCAGACCAAAGGTCCATCCAGCCCAGTATCCTGTCTACCGA